GCTCAGGAAATTGCAATCCCCAATCTGCAGCTTGAAAGGCATGTTGCCATGGAAATGATGCTTATGCTGTCGTAAATAAAAGTATTCCAGGGTCACCAGGGTCTGCGGCATAAACAGGGGCACAAACACTGCCTGGAAAAGTGCCAGAGTGGTTTAAACATATAGGAAGATAATTTTAATGGTATTTTGCTTTCACTGTTATCATCAGAAGGACTGATGAAGGTTAACACATAGCTGTGACCTTGGCACAAAAGTAAAGCAGAAAAAGTCTTGGCTCCTGGTATTAATAAGAGTAGAGAAAACTGTATCTCAGCTCTCCTGGCCAGTGTTTCCCAGCTCAGTCAGAGCAGTGGTCTTTTCCCCACAGCACCTCTCACACATTCAGCAGTGAAATCTCATTGTATGTTCAGGGCACTTTTATTGGATTTATAAGCACTGCACGAGAGCTCAGGAAAACCAGTTGCTCCTGTGAAATGCTGTGTCATGGACTACCTGCTGATGCAGTGAATATTCCTTGATTCTCTGGCTACATCCCCCTACAGCCCAGGAAAACATGGGAAATTGGTCTTTTCCTTGGAGGGGAGACACAAGATCCCAGCTGAGGGAAGGAGCCCATGTGCCTTTCACTGTTCCTGAGCGAGAGCAGTGGGGAACAACTCCCTGCAGAAGCATGGACACAGTTCCAAAGGAGAATTCCAGAGGCCAGCAACACAGAGGGTTTGGATGTGTTGGTTCTTGTGGGTGTTCATGAGGAAAGCAGGCAGTTACTGTTTCTGGTGGGTTCTTAACTGTTCAATGGACTGCTCAATGGCATTAAATGGGCCATACCCTGAAGCTGCCTTGGGCAGTATCAGATCAAGGATACACATTTTCTCTCTGTGTTTTTAATACCCACACAAGCATTTCGAGCATAGGCAGTCACTTTAAATAAAACTACAAGAGATTGCAAATGCCACAGCTTGCTTATTTACTTACTGTCTCTTAGTCTGCCCAAAATGTGGAAATAATGTTTCCAGAGATGCTCGAATTCATGTGCCTGTTGAGAATCCTGGCTTCTGTCCTGGATGATATTGCATATTCAAGGGATGATTCACTCACTCCTGAGAGGGAGGAAGGACTGTACCAGCTGTACCACCTCTCCGTGGCTGACTGACAGCCTGGTGATGTTTCCACAAGGAAGCCTCATGCCTCCAGGTTAAGCCAGCAATTATGGAACAAACAAAAGAGAAGTGAAATGGAGAGATGAATCACTGAGAGACCAAACAAAAGAGAACTGGAAAGGTGATGCCAAAGCCAGAATCACAAAACAAAAACAAAATCTTCATTTGTCTCAGCCCAAAATGTCTAGAGTGGATTCTGCATTTCTTTTTTGTGGAAATCAACAATGTACTTTGCCATCTGCAAGGGAGGATTTGGGAAGGACCAGCTCAGTTTTTAGGGCTTTCTCACCTCACTCCTGTGAGAGGCTGGTAAAACCTACAACCAGCAGCCCTCTGTTAAAACCAAGCAAGACCCAACCCCAGCACTCTTGACTGCTCCATAAACTGACTCAAAAGTCCAAGAAATAGAATAGGCTTTCCCCTTTTGTACTCCAGTTCTCAAAAAAGCTGTTGGGACAGGAACTGTGTGGGATACAGGGCTGATACCATGTGCATTACACACCTCACCATGGATTTATCACAGAAGGGCTGGCCAGGGCTTTGAAGGCAGCTGACGGCTCCCAGCTGGCCAGGAACTCACTCATGTGGCCTCTGCAGCTTCCTAATGGGAACAGGGTGGAAAACCTGGGCTCAAAGGTTGCCCAGAATGACTAAGAGAGGAAAAATCCCTCCTGCCACTCCTGTGCTAATCAAAGGGGTGGGGAGAAGAAGTTTCAATTCCTCGCTGCCAAAGAGGAAAATAAGATTAATATATATGTATATATATAGAAATTACACAGCCAATTCCTGTATTAAGGAAGAAGCCTTCATGCCATCAAAATCAGTCTTGAAATAATCTTGCTGGTGGTGTAGAGAAGCTGAGCCAGATAGCCCAAGCTCCCTTGAAATGTCTTTCAAACACATCTAATCTGTTTACTCCCGGGTTTTACTGCTGGCAGTACCTGGGACTTCGCCTCTGAGATTTCCTACAGTTTGTGATCCCAGCAGGTCAAAGTTCCCAAAGGTGGGGAGAAGAGGCAATCCCTTCCCTGCCTGTACGAAAGGTATGTGCCTTGGGGCTACTAGTTTGGAGCCAATGAATCAGGAATAAGTCACATAAAAACCGTCCAGCACTGGTGTTTACAGAGCACCTCCTCTGAGCAGACAAAGGCGTGTGTCAACAGGGAAAGTGCCGTGTAGTTTGCATGGCTCGGCGTATTTAAACAGCTTTTGCAGAGATGTGAACATGTTGCCAGGGAAGCAGGAGCCTGCACAGATAGAGGTGCCCTCCTGCTCTGTACAATGGGAAAATGGAGCTGCCCCTGCACTCCCCGCTTTTTGTTTTCATCTTTGCAGCTTAAAAATAGGCAGAAAAGGCATTTCTTCCAGAGGCTGATTAATGGCCCCTCTGCACAAACTGCATTTTGCACATATTTAAAAATCTTGAGCTAGATAACTCTTTGACCTAAAATATAATAGGTTCCTTTTTTTTTTCCCTGATAGGGTCCAACATTTGTACATTTTCATACCTTATTTTTGAAGCAGGTCCTTTCTAATGTGAAGAACAAAGTGGCCAGGCTGTGGCTCTGGATGTGTGTGCACCCCCTGAACCTGTGTGGCTGGTGGCTGCCCTGAGACATCACTAGTCCAGCTCTGGGGCTCACCAACACATCTCAGACCAAAGTGAGAGATGCCCCAGTCTGGCACCAAGAGGCCCAGAAAACGTGCCAGCACAGCTCCCATTCCCATGGGGCTGGGGTGATCAATGTCATGCCCTGCCTGTGAACCATTCCCCAGATTTTCTCTTCCCCAGAGCTCTGTGTGTGTGTGATGTGAGACCAGGTTATATTAAGCCCATTGCTGAAAGGACCAGGACGATGGCTCCCATGGGCACATAGCAACTATGCTACAGAAAGAGTGAAAAATTCAGGGAACAAGTGGCACTGTAATCCATCTTACCTACCCGGAATAGATGTATCCATGTACTGATCTCTATAAACACACCCTTTTCTCCATATGGGTGGGTATATATTTATATGCACCAGCCTCAAAATACCAGTAAGTTTTTATTAGCCCCATTTGCAGATGGGGTGATGATGACAGACAAAGTGCTTTGATCCCTCTAGGCTGCTCCTCCTTGGGAGGGGAGAGCTGGAGCCTTCTCTCCCCAGGAGAGGTAAGAGAGGGAGGTGAGTTCCCCCAAACCCCCAAGGAGCTCCTTGGTGTGGAGATCTTGCTCAGCTCTCACTTGGAATCATGCTGGCAAATAAACATGAAAGTGAAATCAGCATTGTGAGATAGTTATGCAAGAGCGGGCGGATCCCAGGACTCAGCCATTGTTCCAAAAGTTTAATTAACATTATGAAAGCTGATTAAAGGAAAATCTTTAACCTCCAGGGAAATCCCATTTTCCCTCACTTCCCATACTGCTGTAATTTTCACAATGTAAGAAGGAAAGTGTTATTTCAAGGCATGATTCATATCAGCTACAACCTGATCTTTGCCACAGTCATGTCCTGCATCTTAAATAATCACCAGCAGTGACACCAGACGGGGACACTTCTGAGACAGCATTTTTCCCCCTTTATCCCATGACCTGAATTGCCATCATAATTTCTAGACTTTGTGTCATCCTGGCATGATGACAAGTGTTCACCCACGCTCCAGAACTAAAACTTGGTTTCACAAGGACAGTGATACCTACCCAGACACAGCATCTCAGATACAAAGTGCGAGTGACACGCCACAGTCCGGCGTGGTAACAGCAGGGACTGTTTGCTTTGGTCACCACAGCAAATTCCTTTGAAGGCAGGAGTGTGGAACACCATCTCCAGTGACTCTCACCAACCTTGAGCCAACCACTTATCCTTTTTGCTCTTTTGGAATTGGGGGCAAAGGCAGTGGTACCTCTCAGGGCACTGCAAAGTCATGAATATAACCAGGCACTGGAGATGTTTAGGTCAAAATTGCTGTTGCAAATTATATTAGTGGAGAGATTTGCTTTCAGCTGCAGAGGGTCTGTGACCAAGCGGAGCCCCCTGGTATTCAGCTGTGTATGGATGGCACATTGCCTTTCTGCTCCTCCTGGACTATTTTAATTATATGGCATGGCCCATCAGAGACCTAATCCCAGGATCTAATCCTGGAGGCAACAGACAGCTGCCTGTCTGCCCTGTGTACTTGAAAAGTGCCCTTGGGGCTGCAGTGAGGGTGACACAGACGATGGAACAGGAGGACAAGCACTCAGCCCACACACAGAGAAGGCACCAGCCCTGGTCACCCCCTAGCCAGGGCACCACCAGCTCCTTGATCTGAGATGTGAGTGGCACTGGGCAGACCCCACAGCCTTGGGTCCTCCCCTGGTTAACAAGAATCTGGGTGGATGCTGCATCTACAGACTTCCAAATCTAATTAAGAACACACATGGCTCCAGTCCTTTCCGAGCATCAGGCTTATATAAATACATACACATATAAATACATGGTACAAACACAGCCTCTGGCAGCAGGAACAGTCTCGTACTCAGATCTTCAACAGCTCTTTCCATCTGTAGATCCTGCAGGTCAAAGACATTGCAGAGCTTCAGGAACCATTCTGAAAAGGGGAAAGGTTATTTTATCCCACTGTTGTCTACATGTATGTGATGCAAAATCCATTTTAATTATGATACAACAGTGTCATCCTCACTACTCTGACTCTGAAGAACAGGCACCACTTTTGTGCACACAGAGACATTAGTAAAGCAGAAGCTCTATTTCTAGGATGAAATTTCTCCTTCAAAAAGCACTAGAGGTAAACCAAATTCACGCTGTGAATACCAAATGCATGAAATTCTGACTCAATAAAAGGCAGACAGCTGTGTTTTCTGATAAAAATGTGCCTTTATTTTTTTAATTTTTCTTTTCATTACCTGGATTCTGTGTTTGTCAGAGCAACAAAAACAAAACATAGTTTCTTTGATACGCGGCAAATCTGAAAACAATCCTGCAAATAGCACAACACAAAAACTCCCACAAAAAGGGAAAGCTATAAAATTTGAGAGGCGACGAGGCTTTCAGAAGTGCCAGTTTCCCAGTGCAATGGCTGGAAGGGTGGCCTGGCCTGGCGGCAGTTCAATCATTTTGTAACGAAGGACAAATACTTTCAACATCCTGAGAAAGAGGGCGGGGGGACGGGGGGCACGACTCCCTTGCTTTCCCTCCTCCTGCTATTCTTTCTCCTCCCTCCCCCCACCCTTTGGATTTTCAATAGCTCTTTAGTGCTTCCATCAAAGGCTTTTACCATTCATCCTCCCTTCTGGTGCCTGCCTTCCACCTGTCTATCCATCACAGCCCTAACCCAGGTCCCTTTTTTTTCCCCCCCCCTTTGCTATTTTTCACGCGGTGGGATTTGTTTATAAGCTTCTGTATTACCTAAACTGCAGGGGAAGAGGCTGCTGGGAGGAAAGTGAGAAAGCAGGATTAAGGAGGAATAATTCAGCTCCATTGCATTTCCATCTGAACAGTCATAAAATGTGCAAATCCTGTTCCTGGGAATTTCATGTCAGAGGCCTTCCCTGCCACTGCTCTTCCTGTACTCCTTCTCTCTTTCCCTCTCCTGGAAAAACAAGTGTTGGGAAGGATGACTGTAACTCCACAGACCCCAAAAGCCATGACGTGTGTGCCAGCAGGGAGGAGGCTCCTACCAGCACGTGTGCAGGGAGACACTCCAGATGTGGCCATAAACTACAGACAGTGGGGTGGGAGGCTGCAGGGATTGAATCCAGCAGGACAACAGGAGTGAGCAGGGAAAGGCTGCTCAATATGACAGCTCCCAACACCCCCAGCTAATTAATGAGCCTGGGTAAAACACAAAAATAACCTCCCAGGCTTGTTGGCTCTGTAAGTAAATCGTACAGAAATATGTGATTCAGACCTCAGCAGCTTGAAGAGTTTCTACTCTCTCATTTTTAGCTCATCGCCATCACAAGGCACCAAAATAGGCACAGGCCAGCTTTCCAGACCCCAGAGACCCACCAACAATCCACCTGTCAGCAAACTGTGAGACAGAAGAAGGGCCACTGCCCTGTACAGCTCAGTGGAGATTTGTCACTGATTCAAGCAGAAGTCCTGCTGAACCTGACCAAACACTCTCAGAAGAGCAATGTTTTTAAATTTTAATTGTTAATGTTAAAAAGGAGGTGGCCCCCAACCTGTCCCCAACCCTAGTGAACCCAGAAACATTTTCTTGGTGGTACTTCATGTCATGTCTGCTGGACCTGGCAACAGCTAGCAGCTATCTTCCACATACAGACACATCCTGGAGATACTGCAGATCACCCAGCAGGTAGCACTTGTCAAAATAAGTTCCTTTGATTGACAGTTATTTATTATTTTTAAATAAAATGAGAATAGATTGAATGGGTTGCTCAGCAGCAGCTCAGTTTTTTGTTTGGCAACTTCTTGGACAGTTTGACCATACATATGACAACACAAAATAAATTTCACTTGCTCGCAGTAGCAGTTGGCTATAAATTCAGTCCATCGATAATTTATAGCTCTAGCAGCAGTGGGATATATGAAATGAGAAGCCCTTTCATCCTTAAACTGCTCTGCAGTCTGGTAGAGATGATGAAAGCCATTGTTCCTAAGGCCAGAGGAGAGCAGGAGTTCATTCAGCTGTGGTAGGAGGAGGTGTGCAAATTGGGTCCAAAGGTGAGAGGAGGCCTAGAGACAGAGCAGCCCTTGGTTCGAAGAGCAGCCAGAAAGAAATCCTTAATGATGCTCAGCCGTCTTTTGCAGGCTGGAGGTGAGCAGTATTTCCATCAACTAAATGATCTCAATCAATTCTTTGGCTTCCCTGAGGGCACTGCACCAGGACAGACTGGGATTGCTCAGCAGAGCCACTCTCAGATGTTTGTGTTCTTCCCACCCACCAGCAGCCCCAAACCTGAGCGTGTCTTTGGCACAGCAGGTGGGATCCTTAATCCTGCCGAGGGCCAGCCCCAAGCAAAGATTAGCAGAAGAATCTGTTTTCATTAAAATCCAACCTACCATCACCATCCTGCCTGATGGTTCGGTTTAAAATGCACATGTCCAGCTCTTGTAGCAGCTCTGCTTCTGCAGGGAAAGGGCAGTTCAGCAACCTGCCTCTTCACTTTCTAATGTCTCTCTTTCTTTTCATCAACAAGTAACTAAGATAGACACACTGAGGAATGTTAAATGCACCTCCTCCTGGAGAATTTTGCCAGCAAGATCAGTGGAATTGGGATTTTGCCTTTATTATGTTTCTTTTGACCGTGGAACTGGTCTGATTTTCCTCCCAGTGATTTTTTTTTTTAAACCCCACAAAACAACAAAACAGGAGAAGACATACAAATAAACACTAATACGTACAGGAAAAATACAAAACTTAGCACCATGCACTCCCCTCATTATTAGACAAAGGTTGGGAAGGGTTCACAAGTGTAAAACACTCATGTGAATTATGAGATTACTGCTCAGTTTTCTTTCAAGTCGTGGGCTGGAAACAGATGGTGGCTGTAGCATTTATGACGGCACAACATGTTACTGCAAGCCTAGCCATCTCTCTCTCTCTCCTCTCAAAAATGCAGCTGCAAGGAAAGTTGTGGAAAATCACATTAATAGTCTCTTCCACCCCACGGTTTTCCAGCCCTTCATCCCTGGCCAGCACATGGACAGAGCCATCTTGTATGCCAGCAAGAATACTCTCCTAATCCCTGTCCTGAATAGTTACCACTGACTGGCTTATTTAACAGCTAGTTAAAATGTGAGGTTTGTTAGCTTTGTAAAAAAGCCTCCAGAAAGCAAGTCCTTAAGGTCAGGGCAGATGCCATGTGATCCCAAGGGCTTCCTAAGGGAAACACTCAGAAAGAAGCCATCAGAGAGTCTTTTAGCTGTTTATTAAACATTCAGTTCAGACCCAGCAGGTTGATTTATAAAGAAGCAGAAAGACAGATATAACAATTGCAAAAGCATCTTTGTAACTCAGGAGTCCAAATTTCCCTTCCAAGCAAGAGTATAAACTTTCACAAGGGCAAAGGCCTCTGGATTTTCAGTCAGAGAGCCTTCCAGTGACCACAGGCTTAGAAGGATCTGGGGCCCTGAAGATACAAAGAGCAGCTAACCCAATATTTAAATATCTTGCCTGTACACAAGAAAAAAATGTCCATGTGTTTCAATCTTGATGAAAATGCCTTGCTGCCTAAAATATGTTCATACCTGGACTTGAACACTTGAGCTGAGCCTGAGGCACAAACCTTCCACTCTCAAGGCACCACAGAGTTCTCTGCTGACACCAGAGAACTTTTCAAACAGTACAAAACTGTTACCTGTGATTTCTGTGTGCTTTACAAATGTGAAGCAATCCTGTATCACATCGTTTCTGAGAGCATTAACTCTCTGGGATTCCAAAATCAGGATTTTAGAATTACTTCTTCACTTGAGTTAATTAAGACCCTGTCAAATAATAATTTTTCCAGACAAGTGTCACTGGTGTATTGGAGTATCCATGTTGCTATTTTCATTTTTCTGGCCTCACTACCTGGTTGGGAACATCAGCACCAACTTTATGTGTTCATTCTTAGGCACTCCACTGTGTGTCTGCCAAGCTTCCTGCACCCAGCTACACGCAGGGCAGCATTTCTGCCCTCTGGGGTGTAGAACAGGGCAACTGAAAGCAAGATAGACTTTTACCATTCCCTTTATCACTTTTCACAGCTAGACCAGGAAGTTACTGCAGAAATTCAATAGTGTACACACTTGAAACTCCGAGTAGCCTTTTGCCAGAGATAGACTCTCTCCAGGTGATATGACCATACATATCCACTGCATATCTGTCATAATTGCAAAAACCCTCAGACCTTTTCTCTAAGATAGAGAAGGTGCCATTTCATTTTTCTTTTGGAAACCTCCTCCTGCAGAATTCATTAGTATCCTATGCAACAATGTACTTCCTGTAAGTACTGAAATATAAAGTGTGTTAGAAGTTTCCACTTCTGTTTTTATCTTTTCCTGATCTAGCCTGAAAATTCTTTTGAAGTTCCTCAAAGTGTTCTTCATATATGCTTGTTTTAGGAAATACCAGATCACTATTGGCAAACTTCTCCTTAATTAAGTGAGATAAAGGAATCAAGATGATATGATCTGCTTAATTCCCCACCTTTTTAAGGTCCCATTTCAAGATTTTTTTTCCCCACTTGCCTTTGAAAAGAAACATTCTGAAGAAACTAAGGAAAGGAAGGCCCAGAGAGGGCAAGCTTAGCTCAGTGTGGCTGAGCTTACTGGTAGAAAACCACTGAATAGTTAAAGCTCTCCCTCATTCCTATGGAATAGTTTATTGAAAGGTTCTAGACCCTTCTGAAACTCAGATCTCTCTAGACAATGCTTAAGAGGAAAAGACTAAACTGCGCTGTGTTAGCACAGTGTGCTCCTCAGGGCCTCAGCCAAGTCCACTCAGATCATGCCTATGGAGCTTCAAAGAAACATCTCTCACGTCTCAAGTTCAGCTTTGCACTGTCTCTCTTGCTGAATCACAACTTAGGGTATGCAGGGAGCTAATGGGAAACATTTGCACTCACTAAGCCCAGCTGCAAGGCCCCAAAACCCGTCATCTACGCAGGCATAGCCCGACCACTCTGGAAGGGCCAGAGGCTCTTAACAAATGGGTACAAGCTGTTAGCCAAGCTCTTCTGAAGCACCTCTACAAGAAATATATCCCAGAGCAGTTAAACTTGGATTTAAAAGCAGTATTTGGGGCAATCGCTGAAGCACACAGGCTGAGCATTAACCTGCCCAACTCCTACGCAGCCTGTAGGAGTTTATCCCACTCTGAGATAAATTGCTACTGTCACTTTTGCTTTGGAAACCCCTTGTAGTCAAGGGGAATTCAGATCTTGGGCAGATTTCTGAGGAGCTTCCTGGCTCCAAGGAGTCCTCTGAGCAGAATGCTTTACAGTGGGTAAATTTGGGCCAAGAAATGTCCTCACTTCCAAGTGTGCGAGCAGAGCCCTCACCCACACTGGAAGTGCTGGAGCATCTCTCCTCCCTCTCTCTTTAGAACCAAGACAGATGCTCTGAAGCCAACAAAGGTTTCTTGAAAGTTACGTAAAAATGAATTAAAAGTGGATGTCCAAATCCCTCAGACTGTTGAAAAAATTCCATCTAGGGATATCCAGCAAGTCTGGAGGAGTCCTTCATACTTCACTGAGGTCTAAAAGTTTGAGTTCACCCCCAAAGGGAGCTGAGGCCACACAGCACTTCAGCCATAGGCCCTCTGTGAACAGAGTCTTGTGGTCAGAGAGGCTATCTTGAATTTATGTCTTCTCCCCTTGTGAGCAAACAAAACAATTTCTATGAGTAATTCTACCCACTAATTGCCAAGGAAAAGTCTGGTAAGAAATGCTCTGCATTTTTGACAGGTCAGAGGCTTCCCTAAACAAAGTTGCCGTTTTATGTTTTCTATCAGCACATGTTCACATCCGGGGTCCTCGGTGAATTCCAGCGTGGATGAGTCTCTGTGGGAAATTGCTTTTCCCTATTTTCTTGTTCTAACTGCTCCAGGAAATGAGTCTATTTTTACAACAATACTAAACAGCAAAATATGAAACCATTATCTGCTTCGTGGCAAGAGTTTCGGGTCAGTTCTCAGGTAACTGTCACCTCCAGAGAAGTCAATGGAGTTGTATCTGCTCATGCAAGGCAGAGACCTGACCAATTATGTAATTGGTTGATCAGTTACCAGAACACAGAGCTACCACAGGCCTAAGGAGTGTCTTGTTTTCATGCGTCTCAAAGTTCATCCAAGCCCTGATGCATTGATAAGTGAAGTATTCTAGTATTATGGTCTGTAAAGATGATAATTAACTGCTGAAAGATTTAAGCATGGGCCTTCTCTACAAGCATACACTTTGTTACTGAATGATCCTTATAAGTAATATCTCTTCTGGATCCTTTTTTAACCTGCCAATTAAACCAGGGTGGGATTTTCAGAAGTGTTTAAAATGCTTTTCTCCTACTTATTTGTGATTGTTTTCAAGAATTAAGATGTTTTCAAAATCCCTGGGGATTTTAAGCCCTGTAGGCTCAACTGCATCTCTGTGTGTTTCTGCTTTTTGCACACCTGATTTAATAGCTACTCTGAATTCAAAGTTGGACAGTAAACCCAGTTGCCTTCATTATGCAAGAACAAAGATAGTATATAGAGGCCAAAACACCAGGTCTGATCTGAAGATGAGTGTGTAACACTTGTCACAAGCTTGGCTCCTTATTTACTGGTTTCAGGGACTACTCCAGCCTTCACATGTGAACTTCTTTTCTGTTGAAGCACTCAAGTGTGCCTTTTTTTGGTGTATTTTATCTGAGAATTTGGGAGACATCTGGCATACACAAGTATCAGTCCAAAGAGAAATTCTTGAGTTGCTCAAAACTCAAACCAAGTCAGATTTGGTGGCCTGCTAGTTAGTCAAACATATAATTTGATTCCTCTCTACGGGAAGAAGTAACCCTGGAAAAATGTGACATGAAATCTTCAAGTGACAGAAATTCTATCACCAGGATGCTCCCAGAATTTCATCCATTGATTATGAGCTAGACTAAGAGTTAGCACTTTCTTGCCTTCAGGCTGGAAAAGAGGTACTCATGACTTTCCACCTAATTGGAAGGCTCACCAAACGCCACTCGAGACCAGCATACAGAAAACAAACTTAGAGACAATATCTAAGGAAAACAGAACCTAACCTATGACTTGTTCTTTGATTTACAACTGTGATTGTGGGCCCCACCTCACAGTCATATGCCATGGTAATAGGCAGCAGTTCAACAAGAACCAGCCCTAACTTTTCACATGTTGTAGTGATTCTGAGCTACTTCAGCACATACTTTAGCCTGATGCAGCAAGTAATTAGAATGACTAAAGGGACAGGTGGCATGCCACAACTGAAAAAAGAGTGATCGAGCCTTTGGTCTTGTTTATTCTACCTTTCTAATTCTTTTTCTTTTTTTGTTTTTAAGCCAAAAGTTGTCAAATTTCACATGAAATTTGCTCTCAATAATTTCTCCCACCTCAAATATATGTGTCTGTTATCAGTACAACTGTGAGTTTTCAAACTGTATCCTGAGGTACCCAAACAGATCATCTGAAGTGGGCTCACTGGCATTAGCAACTACAGTCCTGAATCCACACATGCCAAGAAAATATTTTCCCCAAAAATAACAAATATGTAATTCAAAATGGCAACCTCCATGGGAGCAGGAGTGGCACACTCCCAGCTGCTTTCCTAGTTGTATACACAAGTCTTGTTACTTCATCCTTGGGGTTAATTACAAAATACTTCAACACTCTGAGAGCACAAAGACCCCCAGCCCACAACTGGGATCCTGTGTCAGGAAGGCACACGCTAATTAAAAAATAAAGTATCAACTCTGCTCCATTTGCCTGAGGTCAGTGGGATGTTTGTCCAAACCTAGGAGCATGCTCAGGCACCAGTTTGAAGATGAGCAAACACAGGCATCTCTTAAAGTGTTTTTCCATGTTAGGGCCTGGGAAAAAAAATTCAGATTGAGCCCATGATAAAAACAGTTCCCCATGGAAAAGTTACCCACACCATAAAAGGAAGGAACGACACTGAACTGAAGGAGAATGAAAATTGTCTACTGAATTTTTGTAAATTCCCATAAAATCTAAGTCTTGTTCTATGTGCATAATTTTGACTGTAAGTCATGAAAGTCTGACTCCTAAAAGAAGCAGGAAATGACTGGCTCATGATAGGATAAAAGGCTGCATAATTGCATGGGCAGAAAGATGGATTTTCATCAATCACTACATTCTCTGACAATATGGCAGTGGCTTTTGATCATGTATCCAATGCACAGTAATTAGGTAAAATGACTTACCCTCAATCTTTTCAGTATTTAGCTCTAAGGGTGCAAGGATTCATTCTTGGAAAGGGAAGATGGTCGTGTGATTTAGGGCACTGGATGAGCACTCAGATCTGAGTCCTCTCCCTGGTTCTGCCACAGCCTTGCTGTATGACCTTGCACAGGCTTTTCTCCATGCCTCGGTCTCGCCTAAAATGGGATAACAATAGTTCTTTATTTCAGAGGACACAGGAATACAAACCAGCTCAAGGCTGTGCCACAGAGATGCTACAGCAAAGAGCAGCACAGAAAAGCTCAGACATGGAATAATGCCTTGCTAATAAAATGTGGGAACACAGACAGTAATTAAATTGAGTAATAAACACAAAACATAGGCTGATTTTTGAGGAATGCAACACTGATAGGCTTTGTACCTGAAATTAAAGGAAATTTAAACGGGCTTCGAATTAGTTGACCTGACTCTGAGATCTGCTAGCAGTACAAACTGTGTATTAGAAACACCAAGGAAATTACTTCATTCAAAACCTCTACGTGGTGTCTGTTTTACAGCAACCATGATTTCCAGCCCAAGTGAGCATCAGATAACTACCCAGAACATTTTCTAAGCCATAGGAGGGGCCTACAAACACAATTTCCTTCGATTTACAGTAATATATGAGCATGCAAATCTGAGGTAATTTTGAAACTTCAAAATAAAACATAAATGGGGCCACTGATCCTAATTAAACTGTCAGATGTCTGGAACACCTTCAATGCCACTATTCCAGCATCACACTGCTGCTGGAATTGGACAGCGCTTCAGCAAAGAGTCTTCAGTCATATTTTTCCAAATGCAAAGAGGAATCTTTTTCTCTAAAGCATTTGCCTTTCATATTGGGGGCCAGTTATGGGCCTGTGGGTCTGGGAGAGAGGATCTCAGGGCACATGCCTAGATAAACCAACTAATTTGGAGACCACCAGATCAAAGGCTGTTGTGACAGGCAGGAGGAAAGAAAACAGATACGAGACACATCTTAGGAAGAGAAAATAGTTTCTGAGAGACAGAAACAAGAGGGATGGGAAAGTCAGGCAGAGAAGAGCTGGAAAACAGCCCACAGCAAGGCAACATGGATCTAAGGGGGACAGGCAAGTGGAATGTTGAAGCCCATTGGAAGGAGGATGCTGCTTCGAGTAAAAAGCCTAAACCCAGAGAGCTGGAGCTACCTGGGAACCTGGGAAAGGAGCAACTGCCTGCAGTCACTGTGCACTGCTTAACAAAGCAGACCCAGGCAGGACAGAGGACGGGAGAAAAGGAAAGTAAACTGGCACACAATCCTTGGTTTCACTCAACAAAAGCATCTCAAGGTCAGATCTAGAAAGGCTAAGCACTGAATTAAATGCAATGAATTGACTAAAGAATCAGTGACCATGCACCATATTGTAATGCTGAGATTAGGTTTGGGCAGTCCTCTCTGTATGTCCTTTCTCATCAGACAAGACCTGAGAAAAAGGCATAATCAGACCAAGAAGTTCTGGATCCCTGGACAGAGGAAATGAGTGCAGGATGTAAAACAGAAAAACATTTCATCCCCAAACTGCTGCCAACAATGTGGAAGGACAAAACCAACAAGGTGTTAACGCATTGCATGGAAGTGCAACTTTTGACAACCACCACTCTCAGCTCCATTAAGCCCCCTACACACCCCCCACCCCACAAGTAACAGAGCTGTCCATCAGATATCCTGTGACTCCAATTGCTCACACCTTTCCCTGTAACATTTCCAAATGCAGCACATTAGAAGTCCAGAGGGAGTCCACCTCCAGCAGACAGCAGAAGAAGATATGACACGGCATTCACGAATGCACAGAGAACTGTTTAATTTACAGCCACAATGGTGAAACAAACCATTTCAGAGCTTGGACATTCAAAGTTAAGTCTGACACTCATTCTCATATTCACTTATTGTGCTTAAGTATTAGAGAACACAGGATTACATTAACCGTACACGACAATCTGAGATCCCTGCGGGACCGAGGAGTGGGAGGGATGAGCAAGAATGAGGGACCAGCCCCTCAAGTGGTGTAAGCTGGTACAGCTCCATTGCAGGCAACGGAGCGATGGTGATTTACACCAGCTGAGGATATGGCCCTTGAAATGTCCAACTTAACTTTGAATTAACGACTCCCGTGTCACAACCTTTAGTGTCACTGTTCCTTCTGGTTGTATCTGCCACTTTGAAGGAGAACTAATCCCACAACCCGCCACGGTCCCAAGGCTCGCGGGTGAGAGCTCAGCTGGACTACAGGAAGTGATGCTCATGTTGTGACACTATTCCTCACAAGTTAACAGCCATGGACTGCATCCTCATCTGATGTAAATTAGCTTGGGGCCATCTGAAGTCAGAAACATTTGCCAATTTATAGTAGCTGAGAATATAGCCCTGAGATTTTTGTGTTTTCTGCCGCATGCTGTACGAACACTGTGCTTGACAACAAAGACTCGTGCGTTTCATTCCTCGTAACAAAATTAACTCAAGACTACAAGTCTCAAACAAACGGCTATTGGAAAAGTCCCCATTCAGTCTTCACTCTCTCCTGGTGTGCTGAATTTGGCATAACACGTTTATTTGCTGGCACTAACAAAACCTCTCGGTTTGCTTTGTTTTCTACACTTTGCTACAAGGCCAGACTCTCTCGTGATGTAAATCAGAGCTCCAGGATACCCAGGGGAGTCACTCCCAAAGAGCTGGCCCACAAACCCAAACACAACCTTCTCATGCAAGTCCAACCACAGGACTCTTTCCAAGAGTTGTTTAGCAAACTATTCCACTTAAGTGACTTTGACATCCTTTCATACCTGCACAGTGTCTGAGTGGGTCACATAATGCTTTTCATCTACATGATTTTAATGGATATATGTTTGGTTTTTTTCTTTCATTAGATATCTTTTTGACAAAAAAAAAAAAAAAAAGGAACGGAGCAACATTATTGGCATCCCACTGAAACATAAATATATAAATTACATTTTATACACTTTTTTAAACGCAGACACATACATTCATGTGCATAACATTGTGAACAGTACACTTAGTGGAAAACAAGCACAGACAATCTTAGTTAAATGTACTTCCAGTTTTGGTGCTCAACAAATACACTGGGAAAATGATCACAAAATAGAACGGTGACTAACTCTATCTCTGCATTAGCATCTGAAGCCAATAATGCCTGTTAGCTAACATTGCTTTGTTTGGTTGAATTTGGACATAGCTACAGGAACAGGAGGGGAATGTTTGAACTATATTTAGAGAAATGGAAAGGTTAAAAATCTTGCTGTCTTTTTGTTGTTTGAAGGTTCTGCAGTTCATTCACATTTGAAGATATTTTTATTTGAGTGGAAACACTGTCTTCAAGACAAACTTTTTTGTTGTTGCAAACTAAGAAAACTCTTTCATCTCTTTGTAGATGTTTCACAAATAAAAGAATCCAGTAGTTCATTTTACATATCCAATGTAATAATCCAAATAAAACAAAGGATACATAATCCAAACTACTGGGGTGGGGCAGTGATTTTGGCCAAGTGAGTAGCCATGTCATATCTGGCACAGCCCTAAATTTCCAAAGCAGTACAGAAGGATTTATCCATGTGGCTCCCACTGCAATCTGTGGGGAACTGAACATTTAATCCTTTGGCACTTTGAAAATACAGGAGCTGATGCCAGAGTATTTTATCTGCCCTGCTATAGTTAAAATAGATTTGGATGTTATTTGGGCTATTCTACTACAAAAATATGACCACAAAATGCTTTTTTTTCTTTTTTTTCTTCTTTTTTTTTTTTTTTTTGGTTCAAGAAAACATAGCAGGCTTTCTCAGGTATATAAAACTGTTAATTTTTAGATAAAAATACAAACTTCACCTTTACAAAAACACATATTTCTGTTGAATACACATAAAGCATAACATTTTACCAAAAATAAAGAATTTTAGGTTTTGTTCAAATATTTGCAGCAAGGTAGTTCCCATGCCACCATGACATTATACAATGCAGATACAAGAATTTGTACATTTCACACAGCTCCAACATGTGAAATAAAAGTATCTGTATACTGATAAGAATGACAATTGCTAACACAATATCACTAGTAGGCAACTGGCATAAGTCTTAAAAAAAAAAAAAAAGGATTTTTGCATGGATATCCTATGATTTGTTTACGCACATCTCTCTTTTTTTTCTCTTTTTATTTTTTTTCTTTTATGTAATGCTTTAAATTACGGGGGAGGTTGGGGAACATAAACCAAGAAACGTCTAGAAAATTATGCATAGGTATACCATTTTTATTTTAATACATCTCATTAGTTTGCATCCCACTAGGAGAAATACCATAATGTTTTGTGTTCTGCTTATTGTTATACCAGTCTTTTATATGTGTTATTGGCAAATGTAGTCCAAGAGATAATAAAAAGCTAGGCAAAGAGTAAAAAGAAAACTTAATAATCACTTTATGGTGTAAAAAAAAAAATCCACTTAAGGCTCCCCAGAAGGTTTTTTTGTATAGACTTTTAAAACACCACCAAGCAAGGATGTATTGTTCTATAGTGTTTGCGTGGCATTTGATCATTTCATACATTCCTGCTTTTTTTGTGCCTGAAGTCCACCAGTGTCCATCCATCTTCATCAAGAACGCAGGCACATTTCTTGACGTAAAGCACCGTTGACTGCTCTGACAGAAATCCACTATTCACTTAGATTTTTGTCATGTTTTTTAGTTCTTTTGGTATCCTCCATTCATTCAACTGTCTTTTTTCTTTTCTGTTTCTCTTTCTTTCGTTTTTTTTCTTTTTTGGACAGGGAAGCTTCCTATTGTTTCACAGAGTGCTACAATACTTGCTTTGATGTCACATTAAACAAATGTACATTGTCTCTTTGTTCTCATTAAGTGTTCTTTTGAGCCAGTTTTTTCACACAGGAGAACAAATAAAGTATACAGTCAATAAGCACCATACATAGTAGGTTCAGGAATGTAACAAACCATGTACATCCATGTCCCAGAGAGAAGTTTTTTTTCTAGCTTATTTTCACCTTACATCTGCAGGAGAGAAAAAAGATACAATAACTCTATGATTAGAATCAAAGGTCCTGTCCTTGAAGTAGATGACTTAAAAAAAAAACTGTTCTGCATGAAGAGTCACTAACCTGGGACAAGAAGTTCTAAATGCTGTTTTGATTGAGTTTACATGCTCACTTTTAAAGTTGAATTTTAGAAAATCTTTGCTTCTATCATACTACTCCCAATAAATACCTGTTAATCTGAAACAGGATATCAAGTTTAGCATTCTTTAGAAATCATACATTGGTATAAATGAAAACTGCCACTGGGAGTTCATGTGCAAAAACAGGGGCTTGAAATTAAATTCACCATCATCCAGGCGTTAGGCACAGACACTGCAAAATCCAAATCATTCCCACTCCAAATACCAGAATCAATTGCAAGTGCTGCAGTTTACATACTTTCAAGTCATTAAGAAATGGAAATTCCATATTTAATTTGGAATGTGTGTCGCCATCATCATACATTGCTAATATATTGGCCAAAGGATTTCAGTCATTTTTGCACTTAGAGGGTGTTAGTTTTTCACTACTCTGAAAACCTCATGAATTTTGATGACTGACTATCATCATCCTACTGAGACTGAACAGACCAAAAATAAAGATCTTAATTTTCTGGTGTAAGTAACACAGGACTCTGCAACACACACAAAAAAAGGCATTTCTTAGCATCTTTCTGGTCAAGTAAGCAGATCATCAGACTGTGTCAGGTGCATGTGCAATCAACCCCAGTTCATGCCAGAACATGGGTTTGATGGCCACACAAATAATAATAATTGCTGTATGTGCACTCAATGTTTCACAGCCAAGGACTGGGAACACAATGATTTGTAACCTGGCAATTCATTCATGCATTATCACGTGATGCTTTGACCTCAGAAATCAATAATAATGAAACACAAGCAGAGGCAATGGAACTTGAGATTTCAGAAGCTGAAGTATTAGCACCCTCCAATAAAAAAGAAATAAAAAAGGCAAGAAAAGGAAGTAGCTCAAGAATGAAGATGCTGATGGTGATGTGGAGCTTAAAGGGAAAATACCAGCAGGTAGAATTATCAAAGCCAATCAAATCTAATCTCTTTGCAGCCTTGAGGTAGCAAGTGTCAAGATTTTGAACAGTGATTAAGTTGAAGTGATGATATTTGATTAAGTTTTCCAGTACTTGTGCTTAGGGTGTTCAGCATATAGGTCCTACCTGAATATCAAATAGTTCCAGTAGGTTTTATGTTGGTTTTAACTTTTTTCGTTTCCGTTTTTTACCTGATTCCCTAGGCCTTCCTGTTAACATAAGGGCAGGGCTGGTGAAAAGCCCTAAGGTAATGCATTTCGTGTAACACTGAAGTCATAAATACTCAAACCGTTTACATTTCAAAGAAATCTCATTATCCTTTGCATTAAAGTAATAACTTTATAACGTCTGATTTGACATTGAGTTTACAAAGTAATTACACAAAAGTAAAGAAATAATAAACGAAGTTGGCATTGCCCACGTCATTCCCAGGATCCATCTATAATTACTGTTACCATGCAGTACTCAACATTTGCCTTCAGCTCTGGAGTTGAGCTATTTTCAGCTCACCATCCACTTGCTGGGTGCAAGTTTTGCTCCTATCAGTAATTAAATCCTAGAAATACATATTTTTCCATGATAATTCTGCCCCAGTTTTTACACATATCAAAACCAAAAATTTTGATCTTAAAATCATAGCTGCTTAGTCTATAGCAATTAAAGACAATTTGGAACACCGAAATTGATCTAATGAAACTTTTTTTTCCAAACAGGAGACATAGGAAATGTATCAAACCATACCCACATTAAAAATAGCCATGTTATATGTGGTTTTGTCTAATAACTCCACCTAGTTTCAGCTAAACACTCAGCTCTGATTATAAACTGATGCCCAATAAAATTGCAGCAGAGGTCTAACTTTGCTTTTATAGAAATTCTAACTCCTCTGTTCTGTACATAGCAACTGAAGTTTACATTTGCTTGGACCAGGTTTATGTCTCCCTGCTGGATGGAGCCAGTACAGAAAACCCCTCCTCACCCAGCCACCTAAAATATCTATCACCTTTGGGCAGCTTTCCTCTTGTTTACCTGCTCTTCACTGACTCTTTAATTTTGGGCTGGTTCTACTGCGCCCTTAAATTCCCTGCAGAGATGCAAAACAAACTTTTATAGCTGCCTTCAACCAGCATCAGGAGAAAAGGAAATGTCCTTTTTACCATAGTGGGTTTCCTGAATAAGTGTGATGAGCTCTGCATTGATTGCACCGTAGTAAGTAGATCAGAGCCAATGATTTTAGATTAATTCAGAATGATTTTATGAAAGCCAGATTGAAAGTAATTTTTCCCCACAAATCTTTCCCCATTGTAACTCACAGGTTGTCTTGACAAGGCAAATTTAGGTTTAATGCGACAACTGACAAATTCTTGAGTATACATACGTAAGGAAACAACAGGACTGAGCAATGTTGTTTCCAAACTAACTCCTTAGCCCTGAATCCTGAATTTATTCTCAAGTACTTTACACTAATTTCATTCATATCTTCCCCAAGGTCAAGTAAATCTCAGTGTTATCCACAAAGTCAAAGAAATTAGGCAACAGAGTTCATCCACGAGCTGCAACATGACAACCTTTAACTTAGTGAAGCAAGACCTGAACACTACTGGGCATTTGCATTTATTTAAAGGCCAACCTAATGAGAAGTGATACACATTAAATTTGAAATCCAAACTCCTTGTACAGCACAAACTGGCCCTCATTTGGCATCTTCAACACAGAGAAGTAGCTGGGAGCTTCTCTACTCAGTTCACTGTAAACAACGTTTGTTTTACGTTCATTACTAATATAAAAATGAGGTCCATATGAAATCAGCATTAATGCAAAAATAAAAGGAAAACATACCAGTTTCTTCTTCTCTATAATCTGAATTAGTATTTGATGATGTACAGGTGCATTCCATATGCTCTTCTAATCTCACCAGAACTTCTTTTAATTTTGGCTTTTTTCTAACATACTCCACTTTTGCCACCTATAAAATACGATGAGGTACGTACTGAGACACATCAATCAACATGGTTACAGTTCAGAACTGAAGACAGATAACTATATACCTCTATTTTCAATGTAGCCAAACCCATACAAAATGTTAGCATACTAATCATCTTTTATCTTAATTGTGCATCGTGTAACTATTTATTGCACAGACTATTTGTTTATTCAAGTTCAGTAGTTCGAAACAATTTTCCCCCAAGAGATAAAACAATTTCCCATTCATTTTGGTTTGATGTTTTAAGCAACTTGGTTTCCACACGTATCACAATAAACTTCTATACAGATTCAAATCAGTGGTTTTTCTTGTAAACTGCCACTTTTAGCACGATCTTCTGTAAGTGTTGTTAAAGGCTGAGTGAAGGCATTAGACTGGTTTGTAACACATTTTATTATTTACAAATTGGTGTCTCCAGAGCCCTCTGAATGTCTAGTGCTCAACCCTGTATGACCAGGACCTGAACATCACCTTGGAAAGCAGTTTCATTCCTACTCACTCCCTGCAATAACCTGGGGCTTGTTCACAAGAGCTCTCAAGCACAGTTTTTAGGAGCAAGGGAACTAGCACTCCTGAACTGAGTACAGCCTTCGGCTTTATTGTGGAAAGCTGGCAGACAGACTATTTCTCCCCAGTCCTTCTAACTGTTCACAACTGCATTGCTCCACTTCTGGCATCCTTAAAACAAAAAAGTCTGGAGAGCAAGTTGAGGTTGGAGGAAGGATCATGCTGGAGCAGCTCTGGCTACATATGGATCTCTCATCTGAAGGAAACCAAGGCAGAACAGAAGGATGTTGGGGTGGGGTGATACTGAACATGAGGACATCCTGACCCACAGGCTGGCAGCCAGGAGAGGAGGAATGGCAGAGAGGGGAGAACATTGATGTTCTGGGGTGCTGAAATGGCTCGTGGGATGCTGGGCACTGACTTGTGCTAAGTGTAGTGGGCATGATGGTCAGGGCCATGCAAGGGAATATGGCCTAATGTGGGCAAGGAGAGTGCTAGAGAGTTTGTAAGGGGTCCAGTGTTTAGCTCTCAACTGTGTTGAACACTGCAGAATAGGTGGTGAGCATTTGCTTGCAATGGAAATCACTGCAATTAAATCATGGCTTCTCAAACCTACTCATCTGACAACAGGGCACTGCAGTGTGGCTGTCCCAGCAAACAAGACTACAAATCACAGGGATTCTGTAAAAATGAGGTGAGGGAGCAGAAGGACAGGAGAGGCTGGCTGTCTCTACAGAAGTTACATGACAAAGCCATAAAGACTGGTCCATCCAAAAGCTCCAACTACTACCAAATAAAGTATCCACAGTGACGCTCCAAGCCATGATTTCCTTGTGTGTTTGGTGGGGATTCAATGCTCCAAATCAATCTCCACACTGCTAAAATCATTCTCTTGCCCTTTCAAAACTGGAACAACAGTGTCACAAAATGACAGTGGTGGCTGGAAAAACCCATTCTATTGCCAGTTCCCAGAAACACTCTTCTGGCTGTGGGGTCACAACTATCAAGGGCTTCTGAATGCCAGTGAGAGAAGCTAGAGCAAAGTCCTGGTCTTTCTAAAGCCAGTGGGAGATCTGCCTGAGCTTTCACAGAGCAAGGAGTTCAGGTCCATGTTTTAGTCACCACCCCTTGTGTCAACAGGATCTGGAGATGATTTTCATTTCATCCAGCAAACAAAAGTTACAGAGACAGATGCAATAACTAAAGTACCCACATTAAAAGGTACCTTCTGAAACTGTCAACTCTCCATGTAAACAGATTAAGAGCTGGCCATGACATACCAGAACACTTTATCTGAAAAACTAACTATGGGTTGAAGCAGTTTCAAAATTCTCTATCAGAAACCAACTCCATCAAGCCTTTGAACACGATGATTTGAAAATGTATGGTACAACTGAATCATCTGGCGTCAAAGGATGACTAATCATTAAAATTTATGAAAACAAACAGTAATTAAGACACCTCCATCATCAGAGACAAAGAAAGGGACCCAGCAATCACAAAACAGCTCTCAGATCTGCCATGCTTATTACAGCTATTAGAATAAACCGGTCTCATTGAAAATTACATGCAACAAAAATAAACTGTAATCAAGCTTTTAAAAGCCTGTCCTTGTTTCGCTTGGTTTTACAAACTGAAAGATATATGCAGTTCCTGTGGCTATTTGGTATTAAACAACAGTTAAAAAACCAGAAACAGTAATACTTTGCGGAGGATCATAATGAATTTATGCAGCAATTTAAAGCTGGCTTTAATGTTGTAGTTAAAATACAATCCAGCGCATGTTCCACTGCCCTACTTCACGCTACACAAGTTAAAGGAATGTCATTTTGTAGATGTTGCAAATACTGGAAGTGAAGCAGCACAAACCACATAAGCTGCTGTGTCTGTGTCACCTGTTAACACCTGCTGCCACACACAGTGCTGATCTACAACGTTGAAGGCTGCAGGTCACATTTTCAGTGGGTATAAATAGGGGTAGCTGTGCCAACAGCATGGGATTTGGCCTTGTGTACAAATGATATTTCCTTCTTTGTATTTTTCTCCCTGGCGTTCATATTGTACAGTTTCTCAAGTGTATTACACAGAACTTTGAGGTGGTCAGTCCTTGACAAATCAACAAGCTCCTTTTACCTGTCTCTAATGTAACAAAAACAAAAATACTCAAGCCCTCCAGATCCAGAAAATATCACTACATAAAAACTCTTTGAGAGCAAGACAGTGAAATAACTGTTTAGCTTCTCAAATGGTTTATAATCAGTGACACCATACTTGCATTAGTGTAGACTCTAGGTCTACATCCTGCAATACAGTGTGGTGGCCAAGTAAAAATGAAAATAAAATCTGATAAAATTGTGGCCTAATGGAAACATCATGGGAACACTTTTTTTTTTAGAGATTCTCCAGGAGAGATGAAATCAGGGATTAATAGCAGGGGGAAAAAATAAGACTGTAAGCAGAAATGTCTAGAACACCTCCAGTATGAAGCTAAATTTTATCATGGGCAGGAGCTTGTAAGACAAGTGTCAGCTCAGAAAATTCCTCATAACAGCAGAATTCATGTGCTGATACCTAAATACTGGATGGAAACAAGCCCAAAAAGCAACTGAATGAGGATACTTCTTGGAATCATCTATTGCTTCCATACTAAAACAACTGCATGCAGATACAATGGTGGAAAACCTGACTGTGAGGAAGATGTGAGTCAAGAGGGACTAAAGGACTGGGGAGGCATCAGGAGCCTTCAGGGCCTGGCAAATCACTGCTTCAAGGACAAGAGGGCAGGAATGGCTGTGTGGGATCTCTGTGTCCCTAAGCAGAGCAGCCAGACCCTGCCAGGCTGACAGGGCTTCCCATGCTCCAAGGGCACCTCGCTGCTTCTCCGCCTTCACCTCTGCCAGGGTTTCCTTTGTTTTCCCATTCCTAAACTGACCTTTGATACCTGGTCCTGCCTGCAATTGCAGTTAAGTCACAGCTCAATCCAAGTGCTGCTTATCCCAGTGGTAGAAGAAGAAGGTTCTTAAGCCTGCAGATGTGACATACAGCCATTTCACCTACATATCCCATGTGCTCTGCAAGGCCTTTCCCACCCTCTCTGAGTCTGGGTAGCTCTGCTGAACAACTCATCCTGAACTCCAGCATTTTTTCCAACCTCTGATCAACCCTCCAGTGACAGCTGAGGAGCTGCTCCTGCATTCCCTCCCATCCAGCTCCTTTTCTCTGCACCTCACCCTCACATTAATGTACCTAAGAATATACCAGGGTAAGATTGCCCAGATCAGATCAACATTGAATATGCAGAAGTGGCTGAAGCTGGCAGGGCTTCTGCTCAAGGCCAACCTGAGGCAAAGTTGAGGGAGATGGAGTAATTTAGCTCTTGTTTCTTAATTTGCATATGAACATTGCTGCAAATAATCATACTGCTCAGCTTGGCTATTCAAAATTAGTAGTATAGGCAGGATTTGCTCCATAATATTAATGATTTTCTGCTTCTGTGATCAAACCCACCAAGAGCAACACTGTGCTCTTGGGAAGACTCTTGTTCAGAACCCCCCAAATAAATTGTGGTCTGGTACTTGGTAGGTGCTTGAACTCACTGGACAGAAGCAACAGATCTGCAGATGTTACTGAAATGCTTTTGCACAGAGAAAATCTCTCTGTAACAGACACCAACACCCCTAACTCCCCCATCCTCGTCACCATTGCTCTATGAGGAGAGAAACAAAAAGATCAGCCCCCAGCCAGCCTCTCTATCTCAGTCTGAGTTCTGCAGGGCTGTGCAGGTGCAGTTGGCTGAACAGAGATGTCTTTAGGGCCAGAGGCTGTGCTCCCATGGGCTCACTGTCACCATACAGGGCAAACCCACCTTTCACTAATGAAACCCACCCCATGAAAGGGAAACTTTACAAGACCCATTTCAGGGAAGCTGTTCCACCAACCACCCTGGCCTGGAGCCTCCCTACAGCTTCAATTCCACATTAATGGATATTTCACTGATGAGAGTTCAGTGAAGATGGAGAAAGGACATCCCTGAACCCTCCAGCCTTTGAATCACATCCCAGGAATGAAATGCCCCAACACAAGCATCTCCACTGCTCCTCCCACACTGCCCCATCCGTCTCTTAACCTTGACTACAGTGGCCCTCAGTGAGACAAAGAAAACACCCTTTGCTTTCGCCTGTTGGATGATGCAAATCCACTTGCTGACCTTTCTGGATGAACATTTTTCTAGTGTGAATGGGCCAGCTATGATCTCACTACCTTGTCAATGAGGAGGAAGCGGGGAAAGCCTTTTCAAAGTTCCATCAAAAGAGAGCTTTTATGCAGTCTGACATCAGGGGAAAACACAAGCTGGCTTTCCAATGCACTGCAGAGCAGCTGAGAAGGCTCTCCAAAACCGCTCCCACCTTTCCAGGGACCCTCGCTCTGAGCCAGCTACTTAATGGCATGAGCAGACATTCAGCTCTAAACTTAGGATTGGCAAAAGGCTCAGAAAACCATCAATTACATCAAAGCTACAAGGGGATCTGACTCTGGAGGGCATAAATATGGATTCTGTTCTAAGAGTTCTGGTGTTACGGTGGGGTCAGCCTACAACCTTTACAATGAACATCCTGTTCCTGCTTGACCTCTTGTCCTTTTTTTCCCCTGCTATTTAATGACTGTTTGGAGCAGTCTTGGAGCTTGGAAAAAAAAAATGTCCTCCAAAGCTGGCTGACGTATATTGATATTGCTGGTGGCAATATATTTACACAGCCACGAAAAGCAGCTGCTCAGCTGAGCCTACTTTTAGTTTGTGCCCTACTAAAATGAATGCAAATCTAAAAGCACTACAAGGGGCTGAGAGACTGAAATTCCCTCAATGTGGTGGTGTGCTGGGGAAGCAGCCCCAGCAGTGCCATCCTGCAAAGCTGCTGCCAGGAGTTTGCAGCTCTTAGGGAACACTGGCTGTCCCAGCAGCAGGGCGACAGCCAAGACCCTCTGTCTCATCTGTCATCTCCCCCATTCCTCAGGGGTAGGAATGTTGTTCAATATCACACAGAGGTACCAACAGCAAGTTCATCACACACATCTCATCTCTTTGCTGAGCACATCCAGCTGCTCTGTACCTGTTTGCTGCTACACAAAATCAAGTGCAAGCTGCATCAAACCCAAAGGCAACAGCACTAAATATCACAGCCCTGAGGCACTTTGCTTTTTAGCTCCTATTCAGTAAGGTTTACAATTGTAGTCATTCAATCTCACCCGTTTGTTCTCAGCCCTCAAGTAATTATTGATCCAAATTTTTTACATAATTTTTAATTGTTTCTGCAAAGCGTATCCCACAAAGGCAAGGCAGCAAGCAAGTGTAAAGTATGATTATTTTTGGGAACACTGAAGGAATGTCAATGTTTCTCCAGCTTATTTGGATGAAAAAAAATTTTTCTCAGATGTTCAGAAACAGAAAAGAAAAAGAAATTCTGCCCAGACACGTCTGCATGTATGAAAAACAGTGTATGAAAAACAATGAAATGGCTTAGGTGCCTTATTTTTGTTTTGGGATGTACAGCACTAAGTGAACAGCACTTTTCTAAAGAAATCCATTGCAAGTGAAGCAATCAGTGTGTTGTGCTGAGCAATTTTACGTTTAAGAATGTGGTGGGGTTTATTTTAATTCTGCTCTTAAGAAATTCAGGGCAACAAGAACTCAGAGTCTTCACAATATGAATGCTAAGAGTAAGTCTAATCTCCTACACACAGATGTAGATCAACAGTACTTGTTTAAATACTGATAAAAATTAGAACACAGTGAAGCCAAATGAACATAAATATTTCACGTAATATTTACTGGAAAGTTGCAATAGCGATTTTGTCTAATGAGTAAATACAGCGTGAAGCTGTTGAGTCTAATATCCCTGGGGTAAGATAATTTGAAACACATTTTTTCAGATCAAAAGTGTTATGTTGTCAAATGTAAAAGCCCAATTTAGGCTACATAATATTTAATTAAAAAAACAGCATTCCATACTGTGATTTATTTATTTTTTTAAGTCCAATGCCCCTTGAGTCATTTTATCTTTTTAACTTTAAGATCTGTACTGTGCGAGATCATGGGAAAGGCACAATCAACTTTATTTTCATTTAAAAAAAAAAAAAGAAAGAAAAAAAAGAAAAGGAAAGAGAGTGAAAACTTAAAGGGAATCCTGTGAAAACCAAATCCAAACCCAAGATTTTCCAATGACCACGTCACTTGAAAAGGCCAAAAACGGAGAGGGGCATTCTGTGCGAGGAAGGACAGCGAAGATTTGGGTGACAGGGGCACAGGGGTAAATTTCCAGGCTGAAGGGGAGCCAGGCAGGCCCTGCTCACCTTGACACTCCTGTGGTGTATCCGGGAGGGCTGGCACTTGACGCTGCTGGTGTTGCAGCAGCCGGTGCAGCGCTTCACCTCCACGCAGGGCGGCCATATCAGGAAGTTGGCCGAGGTGGGGTCGATCTGGCTCCGAGGTATCTCGTAGATCACCGTCCGCGTCTTGCACACCGCCGGGATGGCCTCCTCTGCGGGCACAGCACAGTCACAGCCAGGGTGAGCAGCTGCTCCCGCCCCACAGCACCCAGGTGGGGACAGTGCTCCCAGTCCCCACCGGTCACTGGCAAGCCAGCGCTGAGCGCTGTGTGCCTGCAGCTGAGCTGTGGCGTTACCCTGGGGACAGGCTTGACTCGCTCCCAAAGCCCAGCCCTAAAATGAGGGTTTCCAGTGGCCTGGCTCCCAACACAGCTTGGAGCACATACCATGAGATAAGGCAATCCTGGCTCTGGAAGTGACAGCAAGCCAGGAGCTCCTCCACATTCGCTGACCCCCTAGTACAGAGTGACTGTGACTCCTCACAGTGACTGTGCAACAGCAGCTGTTGCTTTCCAGCACTGGGGCCACCACTGCACACAAATACCATCACACAAACATGCAACACCTGGTAAACACTGCCTCAGGAGTTAAATTGATGATTCTGATTCTCTGTATCATACCCAATTTGCACAACTGGGAAACAACCTGCACTAGCTTGAAACTTTCAGGACTTGGGTTTCCACTTCCAGAACTTTAACATCCCCACATCAGACAGTCTGGTTCATCCACCATTCCAAAGGGCAACTGCCATTTTTTCTGCAATCAAAGCTTTTTCCATGGTGGGTTTTATTTAATTTGTAATTTCTTGAATGATGCAAAACCACCAGAGCAGCATGATGGAAAAACCTGCAGTTAAACCAATATCCTGGTGGGCTCAGGTAAGGTGAGCTTGTTTAGGATTATAAAGAGTGGCTCTGTATTACTGTGTGATGCTGCCATGATCCAAACTATGTATCATCATCAACCCAGGGACTGTTTAAAAAGTCAAGCTGATATTTCAAAACAGTAAAACAGTCCAGAAAAAAATAGCAATTTCAGGGACAAGTTGTCTGCTGATAAGTTCTCCAAAGACAGCTGGGATTTTTTTTTTTTTTTTGCCTTACAGTGGAAGCCTGTGATAGCTTTGGGTTAGATGTGTCAGGGAACTGGAACACTGCCTGCACTTCTTCACTTAGTTCTTCAGCACAAGAAGCTCAGGCCTAGCCTGTGCCTGCAACATGGAAATCTAGGCTTGGTTTTGAAAGATGCATTTCAATAGACTAAATAGAATGAAAATCCTTACTGTCAGCCCGCAGTGCAATGAACTCAAGAAAATTAACAGATGCAATACTGCAAGAGATCTGGCAACTCCTACAAGTTATTGAGCACACCCAGTTCCCAGTGCCTCTGGCGGGGAGGCATCCAGCACCTTGCAGGGTGAGGTGCCAACGTCACCGGCTGCTTCAGCACCGCTGCTCTCCCCAGGCAGCCAAAGTGCCTGCCAACTCACACTGCAAATCCCTGCTGACAGCAAGCTGGGCTCTCTCTGCCTGCCACCACAGCTCCAAGGACAAACACACTGATTTACCCACCAGGGATAGCACCATGGATGTTTTCCATAGGCCAGCAGAATGGTGGAACACTCACACCTAATCAGATGAACAAGCACTGCACATAAATCCTATCTGTGCATCCCTTTTTTAATTTATATTTGGGCTTTTTTGCATCCTCATCATCATTAATAAGTATAAAAGCCCCTGTAAACATGCCTGGTGCCCTACACTGTGACGGAAATCAATGCCCCAGCGTTTCCATCAATGGCTTTTAATTTTTGGGATAAACTGTATTTTTCTTGTGAATAAAGAGTCAAGCTGTTTCCTTTTGTGGAGCTTCTGTACTGAAAACTCTACCAACTGTTGATGTTTTTTAAAGCACACTGCTGTAGTTTTTCCCCACACTATGAATTATACATTGAATATCACAGCATTTTCTAACCGAGGTCTAGATTTCCAACATGCTGCAACAAGAAAGTGAATGTAAAGAATTTGTGCATGTCTGTCTCCTATGGACATCCTCCAGAAGACAGCTTCTCAGGCAATGGCTCGTTTTGTGCAAAAAGAAAAGCAGAAGCTAGAAATGGCCCTTTTTTTCCTTTGTGCATGTCTCATTTTTCCAGTGAAATGTCCTGCTTGGCTGACCAAAGGCACCCCCTCTGCTTTCACTCCCAAAGTACAAATAGCTTGTTTCTTACCAATGCTTCTTTTTCTGCGAATGGGCACAGGACGGTTCTCTTGCACATGTTTAGCAGAATGAACACTGTAAGATCTCAAGTTTGTTTCTGAAACATCATCATATCCTAGAACAGGAAACAAAATGTTAAACCTTAGGTATGTTATGTGCACCAGTGTCTCTACAGTGTTGTTCCACAGGTACAAATCTGTGCTGTTCATAGACACAAGACCAAATCCTGCTACAATCAGTCTAATGTAACCCCTGTTAATGCAACTGCAAGGGCTTAAGGCAGGGAATAAAGACACAGACATTGAATGTATGTGTAAGCATACACAATTTAATTCCAATATCCATTTTACTGAAAGCCCCCAGAAACACTGCACACACTGTGGCACAGAACCATATCTAAATTAAAACAGTTGCATTTTTATGTGAAAGGCATAATACAGCTTTTCTTACTGGAAAGGTGTAGAAATAGGAACAATAATCCTGCATGTGAAGTGTTTCTTACAAACATTTTGAAGTTCTGATATGAGGCAACAGTAGAAAATATGGTATTAGACCAAACAGCAACAATGCTGCCTCTGTAAATTTTCTGTTGCTTGGTTTTCAGGGCAGTACTAGGGCAGAATCAAAAGCAAAAAGTAACTATCATGGGTTTCCTTTTAGCCTCTCTGTTGCAGAACAAATCCCCTGTGAAGTATCCTAACCTTTGGAGGGGCATCTGAAGCTACTGCAAACTCTGGGACTGCATCCAGGCTTGTCTTGTTCCCTAAATAAGCCTACCACATGGGTTAAAGGGCCATGAGAAAAAGCCAAGATGGAAAACTTGGCATTTCATTTATCGTAAAAAAACAACAAAATAACTGCTCCAACTATTTGGGTTTGTTAAGTGAAGCAGTTCAGGTCGTGTCCCATGCCGTGGGGTCTGAAAACCACAAGCACAGTCTGCAAACAGAGGATGAGGAAGAAGGAACCAAAGAGAGAACTGCACACAGACCCCAGGACACCCGAACTAAGAGGTTTAGCACTCTGCTGCTTGGAGTGTCCTCTGGAACATCACTGCAGAGTTTCAAGGTTTCACTGCTGGCTCCTAAGAAAACTGTGACATGCTCTAAAAAAATGCAAAAGGGCATTACACAGCACTCAATTATCCTCTCTGCAAGCTACCAACACCCTACACTCCCATCTTCTGCACTGCCACACTCCCTGCTTCCAGTTTGTTCTGTACACACAGCTGTCTGTCTCTGGAACTTGTTTTAATCTCAGCTTTATTAGTAACACACATCATAAGGCTCTGCTCCACAAAACAACCAACTCCTTTTCTCCTCCCTCCAAGAAATTGTGCCCTAAGGAAAACGCAGCTTGTGAAATCACCTGTACAGCCAGGTGAGACAGGAAGACAGCAGGATCTTCAGCACCTCAGAAAGAGTTCTGCATCCCAGGGTTTATCATTACTTCTTGGAAAATACTATTCTAAGTAGCTAAGATAAAATAAAATCAGAGGTCCAAGAGGTAGTGCCAGGATCACCCACTGGTCCTGCCTATTCTCCTTATCAGCTGAACAGATCCTTGTATGAAATTAGTCATTAGTCTCAGTTTATCCAAATAAATTGGCTCCTAGTTCCTATCTATGGTACTTGTTTCCCCTAGATTTTGATGGGAAATTTTGGAACCTGACTAATTAGCTGGTATTGGGCCTTATTTGCAGTCCCAGTCCAGTAATGTAACACAGCAGTGACTAAAGGGTATTATTTCTGCTTTTATTGCACCCCATACTCCAGAAAACTCATCAGTGGTATAAATAAAATGGCTTGCCAGAGATCCCACAGGAAGTTTGCAGCTGAGCTGGGGAGTGGAGCCAGGTCTCCCACATCCCATTCCAATGGCACCAGGCCATCCACCTGATCCCAAATGGTGTTATGCAAAATGAGGATCCGTTCTGATGTGCCTCCAGCCCTCTTCTGTTTCCTAGCACTCAGCCACCCAACACCTTAATACCGACCTCCTTTTTGGCAGCTTCAAGTTGTCACAACCTCTCCCTCAATTTGAGGCAATGAAGTGATACTTGAAAGCAGCATGAATTCTGCTCAGCCTGAGATCCAAGCTCAGCTCGGAGCAAGAAGCATGTCCGTGCACAAGCAAACAGTGTTTAAAAGGAGATTAAACACAAAAGTAATGCCTCTAATCCCAACTGCTTGGTGGGCACAGGCATCAGGCTGGAAAGGGAAGCTGGCAGGACTGCCAGCACCACAGCAGGGCTGGGCCATGGCTCCTAATCCCACACTCAGCAATGCTGGCACAGCTCCCTCCTAGCATGAAGGATCCCTTGCTGCCTCCTTTAAAGAAACTGGTAAGAACCAAAGGACTGGTATGATCAGCTAACCAGGGTGTTAAGTCATGTGCTTACACATAACTGCTCGACTCAGCTGCAATTAGCCTTTTCCCATCACCATGTTTATAAAGCAAAATGACAACTCAAGGAGATGTGTTGCTTATAAGATGATTTCTAAGGTGAAGAAGGCCTCTGGCTTACACTGTACCTCACTGTCTCACTAGATATCTTAAGCATGTACAGCAGTTCCTAAGTTCATGTCTCTCTGAGAGGGTTACAAAAAGAGATCTACAGAGCTAGCTCAGCAGAACAAGCTCCAGTCAAACCTCAATGTGTTATCTAACACAAATTGTATTATTTCTACCAACACATCATCCAAGTTTGGTTTAATAAACAGAATCATGGGGCATGGCTGGAGCCAGAAGACATTACAATGCTAAAGGCACTTAAGTGTCCCCCCCGATTCCCACAGGCTTTTGGAAGGAATTCCATTTCCCAGTGGAATCAATGGGAAAATCAATGCACTTCAAGCAATGTTGAAGTCAACAGGAGTCTTGCCCAAGCAGGAATGAAAAATCACCAAGACAGCTTTGAAACTCACACTTGGCTGTGAATGTGTGGCCAGAAGACTTCCTTTTATTTCACTAAAACCATGATGCCACATTAAAGAAGGATGATACTTAATTTGTATCAGTTTTTCCCTCAATGTATGAGTTGCAGGGTGAGGATAAACTCTTAGCAAAGGAAATGTAACTTTATGGGTGCTTAGCACCTCACAAAATGAGGCTTAGAGCAGAAAGCCTAGAAATGGGTAGTTCTTAGTTTAGAACTCGAACACTGCTCATCACCAAGTGAAGATGGAGAATGCTGCACAGAGCCAGATTAGTGTAGCTTTCTTTTAACATTTTAATAATAAAAAATGTTTTCATGGCAGCCGATCAAGAAATTTCTCTGTAATCTTTTATGTACTGACAACATATCAATGATGGGTATAAAAACTCTTGCAATTAGCCTTGGTCAATCCATTAGTGTAGCTGAAATTGTTCTTTTTTGTCAGATTGGCAATTTTCCACTGGGTCATGGAATATAAATCACAGAGTTCCTGTGACATTCTGCCAATACATGATTACTCTTCTCACTCAAGAAGCATGTGGAAAGCATCCTAAATTTACTGCTATTTTCTATTTATCAATTTATACTTTTGAATTTCCATCTTCTCACCAAACTATTTCATGTGAGGTACAACCCCCAGTACGTCCAGTCTTAATGCAAACCCTTCTAGATTTCACTTTGATGCACATCCAGAAAGTTCAGATCCAAAACTTCTAGTACCAACAGCAGCAGTTTAGGAAATTCTTATCATCTCATTTTTTTCAGGAATTCAATGTAAGGCACAATAAGCTGAAATGCTCTGTCTCAGAATCAGTCCTAGAGCCAGAAAGCCCACAGCAACATCAGTCTGTTTTTCTGATCTTCTTTTTGGCTGATGCAAAATTTGCCCTTCTGACATCCAGCTGCAGAGATAGATGTCATTAAGTTTTCAACTTTGATCCGTTAAAGGAAATATAAGTAGCAGCTTGCAACCTGTTTTGTTTAGGTTGGTTTTTTTTTTCCTTTACCTAGGTGTGATCAACCAACCATAAAGAAGGAGGAAGATTCCCTCATCTGTCTCATGAAAAACACAGGCCACACATGGAAGATGCCTCTCATGAAGTGTAAGAGGTGCAAGAGAAGCCAAAACACTGCACTGTAACATCCTTCATTGAGTACCACACCAGAACCCACAAAGCCAACAACCCATTTTCCAAAAGGTTGAGCTCTGCAGCAGCCTAACACTTTTTCCATGGAAGTATACAGTTAATTTAGAACGTTTCTCCACTTAACAAAAGCTGCTCTGCTAGTTCTTAATCACAGGCCGTTAAATTCACATGGCCTAAGGTGACCCTGGTGGATGCCCTTAACCCGTGCAAAGAGGCACACTCAGCCCTGCCTCTCCCCATGCAGGCAGATGACTTGGGGAAAATCTGTTCCCAGCGGGAGGCAAACATAATAGGTGATGAAATGAACTCTACCTCCCACAGGACAGATGGGAGAGGTGAAGCACGAGGAGAGAAACCACGCTGCTGAGCCAGAGAGAGCTCCACAAGCAGAGCAGAGGAAATGCCCCCGTTTTGGGGATTTAGTCTGCTCGTAGTAAAACTGTACTCTGCACACTAGAGCTGCCTACTTCCTGGGACTGTGCATGCTTTCTCCTTTAAACAGGGTCAGACTCTGCTCTCCTTCATGCCAAGGCAATTCTGTCACTGCCTCTGGATCCCAACGCAGCAAATTAATACAAGACCCTGCTTCCTGATAGGAACAGAGAATTTTCATGCTGCCTTTACCCTCTGAGTTGGACATGCAGCACTGGGCTCTGACAAACTGGCCTGGATTTTCTTTTTTGAATACAATGATAAGCTCCATGTTGGGTAGTGTTTTTCTTTAAGTAATATGCCAGATGGTCTGGGGGTGTGGTTTCTAATTTTATGAAGGGGGTTATCAGTCATCTCAGCGCCACAATATAGAGACCAAATCTGTCAGAATAGAAGAAAAACCTGCCCACTCTGACTTACAAAACTTACTTTTCCAATTAAAAATATACGTTTTGCATTGCAGGAGAGAAAATGACTGCTCTTCCTTCATTTTCCACAGATTCCGCCTTGTTACTCAGGAATATCAGACATTTTCTTCATGCATGCCTGATCCTGCAAACTCTTAGCCTACAAGATCATTCTTAATTCTCAAGTCCACCCACTGAGTTTAAACAGGGCTACTCACATGCAGAAGGACTGGCAATACCATGCACTAAAATCAGGGAGAGAAGGAGAGAATAATCACTGGAGTGATTTTGTTCTGAGCCCCAGTTGAAAATGAGTACATGCTATAAAAGAGAAATATACCTACTGTACGAGCCCTCACTGAACTGGCTGTTCCCTAAAGGCAATTGCAGCCCTAAGGAAATACATTTCAGAAATATCATCTTACCAGGGACAACGAGAAAACATTTGATTTGCTAACTCAGGCTAATACTAAATATAGTAAACAGGCCGGATCCTGTTTACTGAGGAAAGCACAGCAATTTCAATACTCGATTAGTCACTCTGATAAGCCTTTAGTAAGAATTGCTCACGACAGTAAAGTCTGCAGGACTGTGCCCAGGAAAAGCAAATGTGGGTAGTAAAGACGGGTTACTCCAAGAGAACCCAACCATGAGTAGCTCAGAGCACAGCTTAGCACACAGGCAAAAGCAGCACTCACATAAGCAAGAACCGGGTGAAAGGCTGAATATTTTGGTTTTATTTTTTAATATTGTTTGAGTTCATGTCTTAAGGAATTAGTGTTTCACAGGGAGATAGTAAAATATTTATGTCTCTTGTTTCTCTAATGGTTTCTAAACTGACAAATTGCAAGAAAACAGCAAAATGAAATGGGTAAACTTGTGGCTGACCTTCTCCATTTTTGGTCTTGCATCCTCCAGTTAATATTTGCCATGAGGTAAATAATTATTTTCTGAAATAAATTTCTCTGCTACATTTACCCATTTATTCAACTCCTGCTGTTGCCCCACTTGTCTGCCTGATTCACTTGCAAACGTGAACTTTTGCTCTCCTTCTAAGTGGTATTTAAAAATGAAGCATGTGCATGTTACACTGAGGTATTTGAAAAAATAATGTATTCTGGTAGCTACAGAACCCTGACTCAAAGGCAGGAGCAGTATGAACTATTTTAAAACGCTAGCACTCAGATCCAGCCCTTCTGCAACAGCAGCCAACTCCACCAAGTTCACTGGGAAAAAGATTTTAGCAGTAGTGCACTTGTCTGGTCCAAAACAGCCTTCAGTGAGGAAATATGAACTGCATACCCCTTCCCAGTTGTGAAAGTTTCTTTAATTGTGGTGATAAACAACAGTGATGAAGGACTGCTCTCCAAAAATACTAAACCAATGCCAATCTGGTAATTACTAATTAGCCTCTATGGTAAAGTGTTGCGCAAGACAGAAATACTCCCATTTTCAGTGTAATGGGAAAACATTTGGTCTCTAATCACAGGAAAATTGAAAGCTATGACTGTAAAATACATTCCTAGTGCATTCCTGCTCATTAATAGAGCACTGTACAAAAAGAAGAGAGTTAAACTCTAGAAGGATCCCGCAACTGAATGAAGGTGATTGAACCTGGCACAGACTTTACAAAAATACACAGCATATGGTTTAAAAGGAGATGGCCCAGTACCAATGCAAGCAAGAACTCATTCATTTTTCTCCATGTTTGTGCTTCAGCAAGATGCAGGCTTCCCCTGGGCACATCAAAGGTGCCGGGTTTATTCTCGCTCTCTACTGAGAGAAGAAATCACCAGGAACAAAGTGCATCAAGTGAAACCAAATGATAAGGAACCCAGCAATACCATGCTTCTAGATCTGATTTACTGCTGAAACGATCTGTTAAACTGCACGTTCTCACTACACCCATTTGCATGCCTAATGATGCAGAAAATAACCCTGCACTATTTTCTTTTGGAAAAAAAAAAAAAGTGTATTTTTGAGGGTAAGCTTTATATGCAGGTTTCTGTTTAAAATCAGTGCGGACCGTTTATTTTCCTTTTAATAAAGCCCAGCACTTGAAGAGACATTACTTCATTCATAAATATTGTTTCAAATATTTTAAATACCTCTAGGACAGTAGTTTAAAGATAACACAGCAATGCAAGACCAACAACAAACCTTACGGCAATTCTTCTCCGCTGCGAGACGGAGAGAGCTCTGACAACACAGGGGGGTCACAAGGTCCCACTCCACCCTGAACCCCACGAAGTTTTAATCCCCGATCGGCCCCTTGGCCGCCGCCTCCCTGTGGCACGCACCCCAGGGCCGCCCGGCTCTCGGGGCCGGTCCCCGCACGGGTGTCGCGGGCGAGGCGTGCGGGGAGCGCGGGGCGTGCGGGGCCTCCCCCCGGGGCGGCGGCGGCCGACGGCGCGGAAGGAAGGAGGACGGGACTAATTTACCTACGGAGTCAATCTCCAGGAGGCGCTGCAAGTCGCGGATGCTGTGGATCTCGCTGTGCGCCAGCCGCTCGATGAGCTCCTGCGGGATCTCGGCCTCCTTCAAAGACACACACACCGCGGGTCACCGCGCAGTCCCGCCCGCAGCGCCGGGCATCCGGCGCGCCGCGCCTCTGGGCTCGCTGGGGAGGGTGCGGGGTGTTTGCGAGACATGTGGGGATGAAGCAGGGGGGAAATCCACGCACACATCCCCCCAAAAGCGCTCCGCGGGGCGCCGGAGCGCTCCCGCCGCCCCCGCCTGCGCGCCCGCGGGGGCTGCGGGCCATGGCTCCT